CATTCTGTGGTTTGCATTATTTCCTACACAAGCTGTGTGCTCAGATTTCTTCTGGAATTTCTTCTTAGATGTCTAATTGGCATCTGAAACTTAACATATTCATGACAGAACAGATTTGCTTGTGGGAGTTGCTCTCTGCTAGTTACTATTTTCTCTGCTTGGTTGAAGTCAAGGTTATTTATTTTATTGAGAGTGAAGGGAGAGTGTGTGTGTGTCAGGATGGGAGACTGAATTAGAGATTTTATGAGTCCAGAAAATTTGAGAAAAAATACTGTGTAAAATGGGAAAAAGAAGGTGATTGAAGAAATTTAGTAAGACTTCTACTGTGGGATGCAGAATTGTATGAGCTGAATCCTGATTTCTAAAATTGCTGACTTTGAATTCTGGCTCTTTCACCTAGTAGCTTTGTGGCCTTAGGAAAGTTACTGAAACACTCTCTCTCTCTCTCACTCTGTCAGTTTTTTCATCTAAAATCACGGTTAGTGACATTGGGCCTGTATTTATAGTTCCCTATGAGGAATAAATGCAATTAAGGGTAACGTGCCTGGAACACAGTAGGTGATCATCATACAGTTGCTACCCAGTTACCAGAAATCTTACTAATTTTTATTTCCTCCTTCCCCATTACCCTCTTCATGCAAACCATTTAAATTTGGCTTTTACCCTCCTAAAGAGATCTGAGAGGCCAGAGTTGTGGTGCAGCAGGTTAAGCTGCTGTTTACAAGCTTACATCCCATATCAGAGTACCAATTTGAGTCCCAGCTCTTCTGCTTTCAATCCAGCTCCTTGCTAACATGTCTGAGAAAGAAGCTGATGGCAAGTTCTTGGGCCCTGTCACACATGTGGGAGACCCATATGGAGTTCCTGGTTCCTGGCTTTGGCCTGATCCATTTCTCTACTATTGCAACCAACTGGGGAGTAAACCAGCAGATAATTGATCTTGGTCACTCTGGCTTTCAAATAAGTAAATAGATCTTTAGAGAGAGAGAGAGAGAGAGAGAGAGAGAGAGAGAGATCCTGAATCCATCCTTTCTACCACTTTCATAACTTTAGTTCAAGCCACTGTCACCTCTCACCTGAATGACTCTTATGCAGTCCCATTAGTGTTGCCCCTTGAGTTGCTTTCCACACAGCTGCCACTGCAATCTTGCCAAATCTTTCTAAATCTTAACAGATTTCCTGTGTTCCCACTTCTTCCTAGCCTGGTTTGCAAAGGTCTGCCTTTGCTGCCTCCTGATTGGAAGGAGCATTATTCTTCTACTAATTCTGTAACATCCACTTAGTGGCTTCAAACAACACCTGTTTGTTAACTCACAGATCCATTGGTTAGAAATCTACATGGTGTGGCTGGGTTTTGTGCCCAGGGTACCACAACATGTCAGCCAGACTGAATCATGTTCTAGAGGAGTGGGGGATGACTGACAGCCTTGTTCTTTTGCTGGCTGTTGCCTGAGGACTGCTGAGAGCTAAAGGCCTCTTTCATGTGCTTTCCCTGTGCCTTCCTCCATCCTCAAGCCAGTAGCAGCTACCCAACTCCTCGCCACATGGTCCCCTCCATCTTTGAGCCATCAAAAGTGTGTTGAATCCCACCAACTCCTCAAATCTCTCAGATTGCTTCTGCTGGTGCCCAGCTGAAAACTATTAGCTTTTACTCTTGTAATTTGTTTAAGACTAGTTAAATGATATCAGTAGCTTGAGGTCACTTGATTAGTAACATTAATTCTACCTGAAATATATCTTTGTCTTATAACAAAATACATATGGGCATAATACCTCATCATAGATAGATACTCATGGAGATTATACAAGGGTAGAGTCACTGGGGTCATTTTATAATTCCAACTATCCCAGAAGAAGCCAGGAGAATCATCTCTGAGAAATTGCTGTTTGGGCTAAGATCAGATAAATAAATTAATTAGATAATAATGGAAAGGAGATGCTTCCAGAGAGTATGGCAAAAGCCATGTAACTGGAGGACATATTGCAAACAACAAAAAAGGTATGGGGTGGGAAGTAGGGGAAGACCATCATGTCTACAATAGAAAGAACGAGATTCATAATGACTTGAAATAAACTGGCTAGAGAGGTCAGCAGGAGCCAGATCATGGGGGTTTTGTAGATCCTGTTAAAAGGTTTTCTCTGGCCAGTGCCGCAGCTCACTAGGCTAATCCTCCACCTTGCGGCGCCGGCACACCGGGTTCTATTCCCGAATTCTGTTCCACTTGCCCCTCTTCCAGGCCAGCTCTCTGCTGTGGCCTGGGAGTACAGTGGAGGATGGCCCAAGTGCTTGGGCCCTGCACCCCATGGGAGACCAGGAGAAGCACCTGGCTCCTGCCTTTGGATCAGCGCGGTGCACTGGCTGCAGTGCGCCGGCCGCGCCAGCCATTGGAGGGTGAACCAACAGCAAAGGAAGATCCTTCTCTCTGTCTCTCTCTCTCTCACTGTCCACTCTGCCTGTCAAAAATAAAAAAAAAAGGTTTTCTCCATCCCAAAGTGGAAGTCATAAGAACAACATAATCAGATTTGTATTCTGCACATATTACTCTGGCTATAAGGTGCAGGATGTATGTAAGGAGCCATCATTTAAATGTGATTCCTTAAGAGGCTAAAACTAATGCAGGAGATTTTAGGCCAGTATCAGTAGCTGCACAAGCCGACCAAAGCAAGGAGCACTCGGTAGCTAAAATCAACAGGATTTCATGAATGATTGAATATGGGAATGATGTAGTCATATTTCCCAGGAAGCAGACTCTAAAACAGAGATTACTGTGAAGGATGTTTACTAATGAATGCTCTTGGAGTCAACACCTGTGAAAGAGAGAGGATGAAAATAAGGTTGGACAAAGTGGGACGCTGCAGTCATTTTGTCCCAACTGGGTTTATGAACATCTTTCAGAGGTGTCCTCCAGGGGAATGAGGGCACTTAACCTTTATACCTCTGAGCTGATCTGTGCTCCAGAAAGGAAACATGACTTTGGGTAAGCTGGCTTGCTTCTGCTCAGGCAACTCCTGAAAGGGACTGACAGCTGAGGGCTCTATTCCAGCAGAACTCTCAGCAACTGAAGAATAAATCCTTCATTTTTGACTATGAGTCTGGGCTTGCGTCACAGCCTCCATTACAGGAATGAGGGATACAGGGGAGTAAGGCAATAAAGATGACTCCTACATTTCTTATTTGTGCATCTTGGTGGATGCACTTATGGTCATACATTGCAATCACTGGCATACTTGGGAAATTTTTCATTACAGTTGGTGCTACTCAGGGACACTGTACAGGACAGCTAGTGCACAGCCCTTACTTATAAAATGGTTTGCTGAACAAGTGAATGTTCATCTAGTTCTACTTCCACTCCTGCTCCCCCACCTTTTCTTTGTTCCCTCGGCCTTACAACCATCCGATGTGGGAAAGGTTCAGCAGGTTATCTAAAGCTCCACCTGTGCTCCAGCCGAATAAACAGCAAACCAAGCTCTTCTGGTCCAGGGCTCTCTGATGGGTAAGGCAGGCAGTGCCAGGTGGAAGGGAAGGTGGAGCAGGTGAGGACATCCTCATCCATCCGAGCTTCAACCCTTCTGCAAGGTTTCAGCCCCTATAAACTCAACTCTAGTTGGAGCATGTCCTCTCTCCAAGAGACTTATTGAACAAGGGCTCTCCAAATTCCTCATAAATCCAGACTCTATTCTCTCTCTCTAATCTGTTCTTCCACTTTTGCCCCAACCTCTTAACAGCTACTGCTGGGGTCAGAATATGAAATTTCTGGTCTTATCGCAGTTTCTTTGGAGTGGCGGAAGGATAGCGGGCAGGACTGGAACGCACAGGAGGCAATGCTGCCTCAAGAAGCTGACCATGCTCGCATCCTGCACGCGTACCTTCAGCTTTGTTCCCGCTGCACCCCAATGACCCAGCTCCCTTCCAACCCCCTCTCGTGGGAACTTGACACCCTACACAGGCGGCTCCACCTGCGTTGAGAGCAAACAGGAAGCCTAGCGTGTCAGGAGAAGGTGGGCGCTGCCTGGAGACCGCAGACAGCCAGCCGCCTCCTCCCCTCTTTTCCCTGGGCCCCCGGCCGGCCAGAGTTGGACCCATATTCCATCCTCACCCGATTCGGGGTTTATCTTGCACATTTCTCGGCGCACCTCCAGTCTCCCTCACCCCCGAGGCAGACTCTTGCCCTGGGCAGCCCTTCCCCTGCCAAAGCTCCCCTGGAGGCAAATGCTGCCCCCTCACTCCTGTCCCATTACTAAGGGTCGCTTGGAAGCCTGGGTATTGAGCCTTAGATAGGAGGTGAAGTGTGGGGGGACAGATGCAGGGGCTGCCCAGCCCGCAGCGAGGAGCTGCAAGAAACGACTGTAGCGATTGGGTAGCGGTCTTAGCAGCCACTGCGGCACAGTACGAAAAGGCGAGGGCACCGGTGCCGCAGCGGGTGACCCCAGGTGCATAGACCCTGTTTCCAACGCCACCTCCACATCCCCTGAATTCCCGGGGTAAAGGTGTTGGATCCGCGGCAGGGCGCCATGCCCTAGCCCTCCTACCCGCCTTTCCCCACCACACACACACACACACACACACACAGAGAGAGAGAGAGAGAGAGAGAGAGAGAGAGAGAGAGAGACTTCTTCCCCAGAGTCGGGGGCGGTGGTGAAGAAGGTTGGGCAGAAAAACCATCTCCAAGGAAGACGGGGGAGGCTTGCAAGGAGGCGAGGCTGACAGTCACGTAGTGGGCGCGTAACTCCCGAACCGGGCTGGGGGGCGGAGAGTCACCTGGCGGGACAAGCAGCTCAGAGCCGGGGAGGGACAGGCTTAGGCGGGGCGAGCCGAGTGCGAGTGGAGGGCGGGGGCCAGGGCCGGAGGCTGCGACCGGGCAGGGCGGGGGTGGAGTAGGCGGGAGCCGGATCGCGGCGGGAGCCGCGTCGCAGCGCGAGCAGGTGGAGCCGCGGCGGGAGCCCCCCTGGCTGAGCTGAGCGAGGTGGCGGGCTCGGCGGGGGCCATGGAGCTGCTAAAGCTGAACCGGAGCGTGCAGGGATCCGGATCCGGACCGGTGGCTTCCCTATGCCGCCCGGGTGGCCCCCTCCTCAACAACAGCGGTACCGGCAACCTCAGCTGCGAGCCCCCGCGCATCCGCGGAGCCGGGACACGAGGTGGGTGCCTCCCTACGCCCGCGCCACAAGCTCCTTCTCACTGCACCCCATAACACTCATATCGACCCCCACGATGATCTTAACATTGCATATCCAAACGCCACGGGATCCCCTCCTAGTACTATTCTCCCAGCCCCCGAACACCCCCCTCACACATTCAGAGCTGCCCCCGCAGCTCCTACAACTCCATCACAGCTTCCCGTCCCCTAGTTAGAACCCCTTCACATCCTGGTCCCCTGACCACCCCAACATGCAGCCCCCTCCCCATCACATAGACAATTGGGAGGCAAGGACCTCCTCCTTTGGCTGACACCTGCATATATCTGCCTTTTCCATCCTCTTCAGAGCCACAACTGGGAAGGGAAGAAAGAGGCAGGCAATTTTAGGAAGGGAAGGTGCTGGTTGAGGGAGGGAGCACTCTGGGAAGTTAGGGTTGTAATCTCCTGTGTCCCACATCCCACCCCTCGTCCTGCCTCTACTAATATCCTCAAGTCTGAATTAGGGTGGACACTGGGTGATGGTCCTTACAGCTCTTGTCTCCAATTCACTCATCCTCAAACCTTTGTCCTCCCAAGCTGGAGTTCTCAAGGCCGTGTGTGCTCTCTCTTTTTCTGTCTCCATGTGATGTCTCCAAATCCCTTTCAAGCTTCCTATCCAGCCTCTCCTCACACCTCCTAGAACCTGGTTTCCCCCTTCACCCCATCTGTTTGTGTCACCATCTCCTCTCCTCACCTCCCCTTCAGATTGCTGCCAGTTACTCGGTTTTCCAAATGACTTTCACCGTTCCCATCAGCAGCCATCTCAAAATACGTTTTTCCCTCTCCTGCACCTTTCCTTTCCTTTAGTGTTTCCTGAATGCTTGATATTGTAGTCCCTAGGCTAGGTGTTGGGAGACACAGAGGTGAACTAGACCCCTTCTGTACTCTCATGAGTCCATGGTCAGGTGGAAGGGGGAGATGAGCCAATGGAAAGAAGCACAGTCAGCATGGAACTCTCATGAGAAGGTCTGAACCCTAAGGAGGTGAAAGTCCAAGAACTTCAGAGGATGGAAGTTGGGAGCTGGGTCTTCAAGTTCAGCAGGTCTTGAGTTTAGAAGGCAGAAAAGGAAGGAGTGGGGCTATAGGACAGAAAGCAATGTTAAGGAGAAGAAAATCATTCTAAACCCAAGAAGAGAAAGTTGGAAATCAACTGTAATCCAAATGCCTATTTACTCCATACAATAACCTATGCTTTCTCAGCCCAATGTTACATGCTGTCACTTAGATTCCCTCATTCAGCAAATATTTATTGAAACAGAGATTGTATCAGGCAGAGGGGACGTGAGTTGAACAAAATGGACACAATTCCTACTTCATGGATCTCCAAGTTTAGTGGGGGAGACAGAGTAAGCAGGGAATGGCAGCACAAATTGTCTTGCCAGGGGAACACAATGGAAATACAAGAGGACCACCTGCAGCCTAGCTTTGCCTTGGGAATTAAGGTCAGCCTCTGAGCAGGTAAGTTATGCATTGAAACCAAAAAGGTGAGGGACAGCCAGGCACATGAAAGAACACAAGAAGCAGAAAGCATCCCTAGCACAGGAACAGGATATGTAATAAATAAATAAATAAATAAATAAATAAAGCCTTAAAGTTTAAACCTGTGTCACCTTTGTTCAGTGTGACATCATTTCTGAGCAGCTGTGTACCATTAAAGAGAAATAAACACTCAGGCTGCAGACCAGTCAGTGTGTTTATGGAGCACCTTAAAGACCTGGCTACAGAGCATAGAGTTTATCCCAAGAGCAAATGGATCTACTGAAAGATTGAGTAGTACTGCCAGGATTCACTCTGTAGTGTAGAGGACGGATTGAAGAACATAAAACGGAATGCAGAGGAATACTTCAGAGGCTATTGTATTACACTGTTCTGGGAGAAAGATGATGCTAGCTTACACTAAGATACTTGCAGTAGAGTACAGAGAAGTGAATGGATTTGAGAGCCACTTCTGGAAATGGAATCAACAGAATTTGGAATTGATTATAAGTGGAGAGGATTGAAGAGGTCAAGGGATGACAACTAGGTTTCTGGCTTGGACAATTGAATGAATGTTGGTGCTATGTAATGAAGGCAACAGACAGCTAGAAATAGATTTGGAAGAAGGGATTATTAGCTGTTTGGAACCCACTGAATTTAAATACCGGGGAGACTTTCCAGTGGGGTTACCCATTCAGCTGTTGAATTTGGAGGCCTGGAACTTACTGGAAGGGTCTGAGCTGGAAATATAGATTCAAAAGGTCATTGCTTACAGGAGGTAATGAAAGTCAGAGCAATAGATGAAGTCATACAAAGATTGTGTAGAATGAGAAGAAAAGAGGCCCTGAAAGAGGACCCTGTGGAAGACCAGTATTTAAAAACCAGGCACAGGAAGAAGATTCCGTGAAAGATATCCAGAAAAAAGCCATCAGAGAGACAAGAGCTGTGTCCTTCCAGAAGGCAAGGAAAAAGAGTGATAAGCATAGTAGGTGAAGCAATGTTGAATGCTGCAAATGTAATTCAAATGACAGAACAGGATATTTCTTTTTTTTAACTTTTTTTAAAAATTTATTTGACAGATAGAGTTAGATAGTGAGAGAGAGACAGAGAGAAAGGTCTTCCTTCTGTTGGTTCACCCCCTAAATGGCCGCCACGGCTGGCGCTGTGCTGATCCAAAGTCAGGAGCCAGGTGCTTCTTGCTGGTCTCCCATGCGGGTACTTGGGCCCAAACACTTGGGCCATCCTCCACTGCCTTCCCAGGCCACAGCAGAGAGCTGGACTGGAAGAGGAGCAACTGGGACTAGAATCCGGCGCCCACGTGGGATGCCGGTGCTGCAGGCAGAGAATTAACCAAGTGAGTCACGGCGCTGGCCCAGAATAGCATATTTCAACAACAAGAAATTCCTTAGGAGAAATTTTTAAGATCTGACTAGAGTAGGGTGGCAATTGGGCTGGTGGTTGAGAGAGAATATGAGAAGTAAAGCAGGGTGTGTAAACAGACTTTCAAGAAGTTTGGTATAAGAGATAGAGATAAAAAGAGAAATAGGATCATGCCAAAATTAGCATGGGGTTGAAGAAGGTGTATGGTGTGTGTGTGTGTGTGTGTGTGTGTGTGTAGTTTTGTCTTTTGGGTGTTTGTATATGTGGTAGATAGAAAAAAAATTTTTAATTGGTAGGAAATGTGCAAAGAGAATGGAAGATTGAAGGTGTAAGTGAGAAAGAGGTGAGAAAGGAATAGTTAATAGAGCAAGGATCCTTGAGAAAGCAAGATGTGACATGATTCAGAGTGCAGGTGCAAAAATAGTCTTCACTTATCTGGATATTATTGCTCACATACATTCTGACGTTACCCGGGCAGTCAGGTGTCATATGGAGTGCCTGTTAGTCACATTCACTCAGCTATTATCCCACAGGTGCACATGCTGCCCACACTTACTACAACATTACCAACAGAAATGTAAATTTTGCCCACTTTATTCTTACATAATCTATGCAGACTTGAGTCTAACCCATTTTCACTTAGATGCTACCCACAGAAATAGAGGTTATTCACATTTACTTAAATGTCACCCAATCATTTAGATGTTACCCACCAATCAAACACTTTCATTTTATCATTAGCTACACAAAATCACACATTCTCATGTTTAACTAGCCCTTCTCTAGATGCTGCCCTTAAACTCACAGCTATTATTCTTCCATATTTAGATATTACCTGCAAAGACTCAAATATTACTTCAGATACTCAGCTATTTCACTCAATCAGATTAACATTTTAACTTAGAATAATCTAAAGTGTTAACAGTTCACATCCATACCTCTTAAAAACTGCCCACACATACTTGGATATTATTTGCTCATTCATCTATTGTGATCATCACTTGGACTGACCCCCATTAACATATGTAACATATGTACTTGGGTTTCTCCAAGTCTCCCTAGATGACATATCATTTCATAGGTAACAACTTCAGGATACATAAATTATATTCAAAGATCTGCTCATTCAAACCTTACAACACTTCCTTAGATATGACCTAAGCTTAAATGCAACCCACATTGGATCAGGTGGGACTTAGAAACATATAGATGTTATCCTCCTCTAGATATTACTCACAGAAATAAGGGTGACTTTCACCTTCACCTATCCAGATATTATCATAAAGACTAAAACATTAGCCAAAGCTCACCCTAATAATACCTATTACCTACACATCCTTGCATATTACCTATTCCTCAGTTAATACCCACTGGTACTTGAATGTCCCTTATACAAACAGCTACTATCAGTCAGTTGTATGCTGTCTGTGCTCACAACAGAGATGCGGTATGACTTTGTATATATGCAGAACCAACATCCCACTGGAAAGCAAATTTAAGTCATCAGCAGCTTTCATGTTCTGTAGAGCCCCTTTAAAGAAAAGGCTGGTTCTTGTATTGTGTCACATTGTTTGGTTTTTTTGTGCCATACTTAGCAGCCATCATATGGACAGAGCCATGCAGATCCTCTAAACCCTGCGAGAACTGAATTGCCCATCTTCTGAATCCCTGGTCTGACTTCTGCTCTCCTCTCATCCCCCGGAAGGTAGTACCTATGGATAGACTATCAAGGCAATCCTGTCCGAACCCATAGAGGAGACATCTCCCATATTCCCACCTTTGCCTGAAATTCCTTGTCCCTAAAGCCAATGTGATCACTCATTTTCCACCACACAAACACACATGGATGTGCACACATATACACAGTCAGTTCTCATGTATTTTGTATATTAATTTTGTATGTTGGACATTGTAAAACAATAAAAAATTTTTTTAAATATTTTTTATTTGAAAGGTAGAGTTACAGAGAGACAAAGGCAGAGAGAGAGAGAGAGAGAGAGAGAGAGATCTTTCATCCATTGGTTCACTCCCCAAATGGATGCAATGGCCGGGGGCTGGGCCAGGATAAAGCCAGGAGCCAGGAGTTTCTTCCAGGTCTCAAACATAGGTACAGGGGCCCAAGTGCTTGATCTGTCTTCTGCTGCTTTCCTAGGCACACTAGCAGGGAGATGAATCAGAAATGGAGCATCCAGCACTCAAACCAGTAAACACGTGGGATGCTAGTGCTGCAGGTGGAGGTTTAACCCACTAAACCCCACAATAGATTATTTTTAGAGTAGTTTGATGTTTATAGAAAAATTGACCAGAAAGTACAGAGTTCAAAGTTCCCATATACTCTCACACCTGAAAATACTGTCACGACTGCACACACAGAGTTTACCATAATTACAGTTGATGAGCCAACATTGATACATTGTTAACTGATTTATTAACTACATTATTAACTAAATTCTGTGCTCTACATTTGGATTCCCTTTTGTGTGGTATGGTTCAGTGGATTTTGATAAACACACAGTGGCATGTATCCACCATAGAATAATACAAAATAGTTTCAGTGTCCTAAAAATCTCCTGTGCACAACCTCCTCATCCCTCCACAACCCCTTGGTACTAATATTGCTTTTTTTCTTCTTTTAAAAAGATTTATTAACTTGAAATCCAGAGTTAGAGAGGGGCAGAGGAAGAGAGAGAGATGTCTTCAATCACTGGTTCACTCCCCAAATGGCTGCAATGGCCAGGACTGTGCCAATTCGAAGCCAGGAGCCAGGAGCTTCCTCCGGATCTCCCACGCAGGTCCAGGGGCCCAAGTACTTGGGCCATCTTCTACTGCTTTCCCAGGCCATAACAGAGAGCTGGTAAGGAAGTGGAGCAGCTGGGACTCGAATCAGTGTCCACATGGAATGCTGGCACTGCAGCGGCGGCTTTACCTACCACGTTAAAGCGCCAGCCCCTAATATAGCTTTTAATTAGAATTTTTCATGTCTTCTGGTTGTTCAACAGCAAAGACCTGGAGAAATAGTGGTGCCTGGAAATAAGAGAGTAGCTGGGGATGCCCAGGAAAACAGCAAAGCACTGTAAAAATTGCTGGTCATTTTTACTGTGACTTTGTTCTATAGTTTTCAGGAGTTCCCAAGCAGATTGGGAACTTCATAAAGGTAAGGCCCAGCCTCACTTTTCTGGTCCACCACAATTATTCAAACTCCAGGGCATGCACATGGAACACGTCAGCTGGATGAATGAATGAAAATATGCTTTCACACTTCAGAGTGCTGAACCAACTTGAGGTATGGTAATTGCATCAAGAATTATTTGAAGGAAGATATCCAGAGGAGAAGTTGATGCAGTGAGGAGGCAGGGGATGGGAGTAAGGGGTAGTGGATTTGGAGGATGCACAGATGCTGCAAAATGACTACCAGCTCTCTTTTTCTGGGTCAAGGATCTCTCTGACAGAGAATCCCCCCCCTCCCAAAAAAAAGTTTCTTTATATATATACAAACACACATACACACACACACACACACACCCCTCTCAAATTTTTCACTACAGTTAGTGGCCCATTTTCCAGAGGAGATACATATGGTTTGTATGTAATAGCAAAAGTAACACATCTGAAATCATTGCTTATCATTGATCCCCCTAGCATCATCCACCAAGTATCCAAAGAAAAAGAGACATTGAGGGGGGCATGCTGGAGCATCTTTACAGAGGTGAGGGATGGATGAAGAGTTGGAAAAGTAGGTGCATTTCTACTTTGAAAAAATATTCATTCAAGAATCCTTAAAGCATGTGTTGACTGCCTCCGTGTCATCCCAGACATTACGCCAGGTGCTAAGATATACTGAAGAATGAGACAGACCTTGTCTAGTGGGGAAGACAAAAATAAAAAAATAAAAGCAATAAAACAATCAGGGATTCCCTGGTAGGATATAGAGAGAGGGAGAAAGAGGCAGTTAGGTTAAGGATTGATTTAGGGAAGAAGGAGGCAGTGTGATGAATGACAGATTAGCAAGGGAGCAGTAGGCAGAAAAACATTTTAGGGATCCAGATTCTTGGCTTCTGTTCTCATCAATGCCTTACTCACTGTGTGATCCTGAGCAAGTTATGTTACTACTGAACTGGATTTGGGAATGTTTTATAAATAACACTTACTCAATGCCTATAACAACTTCCAAAGAAATTATTATGAGAAAGCAATTCTCTTTGGGGGCTAAACAAAAACAATATATAGAGAGAGTTATAGAAAGGAGAGTTTTATCTCTATCTCCCAACCTGGGAGGTTCTGCCCCCTATATTTTCTCCTTTTGAGCACTAACATTCCTCATGGTAAGTGATTCAGTCCAGTTAAATTCAATTCAATGTTGTCCAGGTCTGCATGATTGTAAATGGAGGTAGAAAGATGAAGCTATCTCCTACAGACAATGACACAAACAAGTGAGGCCAAGCTGTCAGCTCTGTCTTGCCCACAAACACTAGGTGTGCCTTCTGTGAGCTCCCACAGTTCCTCATACATCCCTCAAACTCACTCCTACCACACATCATCTGCTTACAAATCTGAGTTTCCCTTTCTACTGTGAACTATCAGATGTCAGGGAGTGCCTGATTTTCATCTCTTTGTCCCCAGTGCCTGGCACAGAAGGAATCGACTGTAAATGTTGAATGAGAATGAATGTCTGGAGATAATTAAAATAGAAGGTAGAAAGTAAAATGGGCTCTAATGGATGCATAAGGAATATGTATAGATCAGAGAAAGTGGAGATTAATATCGAATGAGGCATCCAGAAAGGCCTTACAGAAGAGGTGGCAATCTACCTGAGTTTTGATAAACAAGGGATAAATAGGAATTCACCAGTAATAGAAAATAATTTTGTGATGGGGGTGGAGGAGGGGCAGTTGTTGGTGAAAGTATTCCAAGCTGAGAAACTAACTTGAGCAGAAAGGGAGTCACAAGATACATGATGCATTCTAGAAACTGAGTCATCAGTTGCTTACGTGGGCACAGTGAAATGAGGAGGTGGGAGGAGCTGGGGGGGGGAGGCAGTACTCACAGGCTCTTGATGACATGCTAAGGTTTGAGGTTGGTCGCATGCAAGAGTAGGAAGAATTTAGAACAAACCTTGAGAAGAGAGAGGCTTTTCTGAAAGAAGGGTGGAGTTAGACCAATTTAACACAACTTCAAGTTGTCAGAAGCACGGAGGAGCCAATTTCACTGTTTACTGAACAGGCACTGGATTGGTGGGTGGGTGGGAGGAGTGTGTTCTTTGGTTGAAGAGGTCTGGCTGGATACTGAGGGCTGGGGATCAGCGGGATGGAGGTTTTGCTGAGGGGGGCCAGACCCCCTACTGCCACTTCTTCCTTTTCCTGCCTAGAATTGGAGCTGGCCATTAGAGTCACTCTTTATGCGGTGATCTTTCTGATGAGCGTTGGAGGAAACATCCTCATCATTGTGGTCCTGGGATTGAGCCGCCGCCTGAGGACCGTCACCAATGCCTTCTTGCTGTCGCTGGCAGTCAGCGACCTCCTGCTGGCTGTGGCTTGCATGCCCTTCACACTCCTGCCCAATCTCATGGGCACATTCATCTTCGGCACAGTCATCTGCAAGGCCGTTTCCTACCTCATGGGTGGGTGAGACAACTAACTACCCTACCCACCTTGACCTTCTACCTCCTGAAGTCTTTGCCTGGTGTAGGGAATTTTGCCAGGGGGGACATGGGGCCGGGAAGGGGTGGAACTGATTGAGGAAGTCACACTGAAGAGTGTCTGGTGCCAGTTTCCTGGGTGACTTCTTTTTTTTCCCTTGCTTAGGGGTGTCTGTGAGTGTGTCCACGCTAAGCCTCGTAGCCATTGCCCTGGAGCGGTACAGCGCCATCTGCCGACCACTGCAGGCGCGGGTGTGGCAAACTCGCTCCCACGCGGCTCGTGTGATCTTAGCCACGTGGCTGCTGTCTGGACTGCTCATGGTGCCCTACCCCGTGTACACCGCCGTGCAGCCAGTGGGGCCCCGTGTGCTGCAGTGCGTGCATCGCTGGCCCAGTGCGCGGGTCCGCCAGACCTGGTGAGGGTGCCCGTGACCTATTCCTAGAAATTCGCTTTTCATCTCCATCAAATGCTTGCCAACATTCCTCCAACTGCTGCAAGAATTCCATGCTACTTCCCATTTTGCAGCTGCCCCCGAGATCCAATCTAGGGGCCTTCCCTGGTTCTCTAGCCCGTCCCAGTGGCATCCCCGCCCCCAATGTTACTCCAACCTCACTTACGAACCTGGCCACAGCCCTAGAAACACCAGTCCTTGACTCTTCCTCTATCTGTGACTTTGTCTGGACAGAGACCCATGTGACAAGTCTTTGTGCTGCCTCCAGGTCAGTACTGCTGCTCCTGCTCCTGTTCTTCGTCCCTGGTGTGGTCATGGCTGTGGCCTATGGACTTATCTCCCGCGAGCTCTACTTAGGACTTCGTTTTGACAGTGACAGTGACAGCGAGAGCCAAAGCCGGGTCAGAGGCCAAGGAGGGTTGCCGGGTGGGGCTGCCCCAGGTGAGTGAAATCCAGGAGGGGCGGGCCATTGGGGGAGAGGCGAGCCTAGAAAGGGTAAGGGCTGAAAGAGATGTGAGACTGGAAATGGGGTAAAGGCTTGCAGCGGGGCGGCAGGAGGCGTTGGGCTGGAGGTGGGGAGGACTGTCTTCAGCCCTGACCGCTCTCCCTCTGCTCAGGTCCTGTCCACCAGAACGGGCGTTGCCGGCCGGAAGCCGGCCTGGCCGGCGAGGACGGCGACGGCTGCTATGTGCAGCTTCCACGTTCCCGGCCTGCCCTGGAGCTGTCCGCGCTGACCGCTCCCATTTCTGGGCCAGGCCCCGGACCCCGGCCAGCCCAGGCCAAGCTGTTGGCTAAGAAGCGCGTGGTGCGCATGTTGCTGGTGATCGTTGTGCTGTTTTTCATGTGTTGGCTGCCAGTGTACAGTGCCAACACGTGGCGCGCCTTCGACGGCCCGGGTGCTCACCGAGCCCTCTCCGGGGCACCTATCTCCTTCATCCACTTGCTGAGCTACGCCTCGGCCTGTGTCAATCCCCTGGTCTACTGCTTCATGCATCGCCGCTTTCGCCAGGCCTGCCTGGACACGTGTGCCCGCTGCTGCCCCCGGCCTCCACGAGCCCGCCCCAGACCTCTTCCAGATGAGGACCCTCCCACCCCCTCCATTGCTTCACTGTCTAGGCTGAGCTACACCACCATCAGCACGCTGGGGCCCGGATGAGGGTTGAGATAGAGTGGGAGCTGAGGCAGGACCGGCCACTCCTACAAGCACGGACCCTTCCAAACCACGACTGACGCTGGCTACTGATGCCCAATAACACAGACCATCCCCGACACACACACACACAAAGGTAGCTTACCTGCCACAAAAGGAACAGAATGGAGCCTTCCACCGGAGAGGAAGTACACTTCTGATCTGAGACTGAGCCTTGTCTGTAGAGACATGGCACTGACCTTGGACAGACCATCGCTCCTCAGTGGGAACTCTGACAGGGCTGACCTGTCCCTCACACACCTGATCCTTTTAGGAGCTGGGGAGCCCAGCACAGGGCTGAACCTTGGGATTCTCCTGGACATCTCCAGTTTGACCACACAATTTTCTTTTTCACCAGGCCTACTCTCACACCTCCCCCACCAAAGGCTGTTAAGCACTGAAAAGTCCCTTCTTCCCCTTTCAGTTAAGGACTGTGGCCCTGCCCCTCCTCCTTTACCTGGCCTCTTTGAGAAATAATAAATGATTTGACTTCCTCTTAGACTTCCTTCCTGGACTTTTCTGGGAGACAGATGAGGAGGCATGGAAATGTGTGGAGTCTCTCCCCTGTCAGATCCTGACCACTGCTGGCCATTCCTATTCTACAAAACCCATGGTCTGAGGCTGGATGAGGCTGTCATCCTGGGTTCACCCACTCTCCAGTGCTGAAGCAGCTGGGAGTGGGGTGGGGAGGTGAGATATCCATGACACATTCCTGCACTTGTTCTCCCAGGCGTGCCATTGTTAAGGCAGTATGTTAATAGATGTGTATATAAATTTTGATGAAAAGAGAGAAGGAAGCATTATATAAAACTCAATCTACTCAATATCTTTGAAACATGAGCCTGAGGCAGATATGCAGAAGTTAATTAAAAACAAGGCCTTTTTATTGTACACTTGCTTGCCACCAGTGTCCAAACTTGGCCAAGATTCTGCCAAATGGAAGCACCCTTTCGGGTCACAACAAAGAGCCCTGGGGTGAAGAGGGTGGGGCTGGAGTTTGAAATCCAGTCTCCTTTTGACTTCAAGACTAATGTGGCCCCAAAGACAGGCAGGAGCCAGGGCAGAAGCCAGCAATGTCACATCTATGCACACAAATTGACAAACCAATGGTAAGACCAGGAACTGAGGATCTCATTGAGGGGATATACGTGGGTAATCAGAGACATAGAATGTCAGGATATGGGTTCCTTGGCACTTCTTCTTGTAACATGTTGGAGAAACTGAGATGCAAAGAGGAAAGTAAGCTGCCTGAGGTCACAGCAAAACAAACAAAACAAATCATATTGACATAGACACTGAGCTGGATGTGGGGAAGAAGCCATAAACATGAGGGGCACATCCAGGTGATATGAAACTAAAGTTTATAAAATTGGGCCCCCTATTTGAAGAAAAGGAACACAAAATCACAACTACAAAATTTCTAGGACCCTGAGGAGGGCTTTGGAAGAGCCCTGCAATGTAAAACTCGTTGCCTCTAAAATCTCTCTGCTAACGACCATGAAGAGGGGCTGGAGCAAAGGACATGAGGAAAGAGGACAGCTCTTCCGTTCACCAGTGTTCAGATTGCTCCCATCCATCGCTTCTACAGGATTCTGGGCTGCAAGAGGCAGAGGAAGGATGAACAGAAGGAAGAAGGCGTTCCAAGCCGTCAACCTATGACAGTGCTGGTTAAAAATAGAATCCCAGCTGGTCTGAGGGGCTGAAGGGAGACTCGGGACTTTGTCTCATGTCAAAATTTCTGTGGGCCAGGAGCAGGCTTGCCTGCAGGTTCCCCAGCACGTTCCATCCTCTAAAGGGATGATGGAGGCTGCCCCACAGTGAGCCCTCTGGCTGATGACCACCAGATGGCTGCAGGAGACTGATGGGAGAGACCTGGGTCCAGCCCCTTTGAGCCTGGTGTCAGAACCTAAGTACTGTGTGGCCCAGGCCTGGACTGGAATCTAGCACACAGGCATGATTTGAAAAACACTGCTTCACATACTGTAGCCCTACAGTGTATGGAATATTCATGTGTCCATCACTGTGTGCCCTATCCAGTCATCAGATGTGGAATGTTGGACTCCTCCCACCCACTTTTCACATCTTGAAACTGACAAAGCATGTCAGGTCCAGATTTCATATTACTGTCTCTGTGAAGTCCTGCTTGGTCCTTGCAACACAGGCTGCATGCTGATCAGCACTCAGGGCTTTTCTCTCTTCTACCATAGTTATTTGTGTTCCTGCCTGATTTCCCCTATTAGGCTGATAATATGGGAAGATGACAGCCAGGTGGGGTGATGGAGGGAGTGGCAATCAAATCTAACATTTCTTGGTGCTATGTGATAGGCATTTTATGTACACAGTTCATTCTGTTCTCAGCTCACTTATGTAGAGCATTTCTCTTCATTTGACAGGTGAGGAAAATAGAGATGAGAAAAGCTTAGGGAGTTATATGAAGCCCTGAAGCCAGAATAGAACCAGGAACTGAGTGCAAATATCTGCCTGCAAAGTTTTCTCTCTGTTATTCTACATTGACATTTTTTAAGCCTTTAAATTCTGTCTCTGACTTAAAATTTGTGTGATTTTATGAAAGTTATCTCATTGAATTTTAAGCTGAGTTTTAAAAAATTGGAAAAATTACATTAACCCTGTTGTTGCCATTTAGAAAATGAATTAAAACAATACTCATGCAATACCATTGTATCAGGCTTATAGACTAAGAAGGGCTAGACTTGTGACTATCTCAAGACCAGCACTTCCAGGAAGCAAGGGCCTTTGCAGACAGATGGCCAGCCACAACTGAGAAGGACAGAATTCTGGATCCAAGGGGAAGCTCAGGGTCTGCTATGAAATGATACTAGAAAGTAGTGAAGTCAGGATTTGAACCCAGCTCTGTCTGACACAAAAACCCATACTGTCTTCACTGCACATCCTGACTCCGATCTCTCATAGGGATTGTTGATGACTAAAGAGAAATTAATTGGTGCTGCTCCTCCGCACGCGGAGGAGCCGCACCGGACCGGATGCTTGTTGTTCCCTTTTTTTACAAGTCCTTTCTATAGTAAAGTAAGAATAAGTAAACAGCAAACTCCCAAAGCAAGAATGAGTAGAGAGAAGTGAGAAAGAACGAAGTAACGAACTTCCCCGCGAACTCTCCAACGCACTCTCCAACCAACCCACACCACCATGCCGTCTCTCTCCTCCTATATAGTCCTCTCCACCAATCCGTGCTCTGCTACCCACACGCCGAGCGCGCCGCTCTCCTCCAATCAGGAGCGGCTCTTGCAGCTTATCAAGTTGGTAAGAGGCAGCTGGGTAGAAGCTGTACGCTCCTCTCCCAGCGCCACATTGTGGGAGAGCAGATGCATAGAATAAGTCTTAATTCCAGTAACAGTATAGTCCGAGTTGCTCCCCACAAATTGGTTGTGAACAACTTGAAATCACTCAGGACTCTCTCAGGGCTCAAAGTAGAAGAGCAGGTGATTAAATCTGTAACTCTGTGGGCTTCGATCCTTCAGCAAGCCCCACTTCTGCTGTCACCATTCTTTGAAGAAATCCCCTACAGATTACCTCCACAAAATAGAGGTTGGAGCAGTTGTCCTGGAGAGTTCACCCTTTCAAACCTTCCAGAAAAGCAAGTTTCATGATTGTCTCAGAAACCACAGGTGATATGGGAACAAAAGAGAGAGAAAGGGAGCATCACAGTAAATGTGCCAGAAGCTGGCTCTTGTAGACATTTTCAGCCAGTCTTGAATGACCATACATTTTGGTAAGGCAGATCCAATAGTGCGCATGGGACATTTTATGGAAAGACATTTTTCCTTAAAGTTATCTCCAGGAGCAGGCAGGTGGGAGGGAAAGAAAAAGATGGAGGGGGTAAAGAAGAAATTAGGTCCCATCTGGAGTCTACGCTTTGTTGCTCAGACACAAATGCCTAGACTGGGTCCTCCTAGAGACTGTAGCCCTGATTGCAGATTCTAACCATGGTCCTTTGGCTGCTTCCTATTCTCTGAGCTTCATTCACTGCCTCCCAACCTTCAGGTGAACTTGGTAAGCCATACTCTTGGCTCATCAGTAGCAATATACACAGTGATTAGCACCTCCCTGTGGATAGGGCCTCATCTTGGAAATTTAAGTCTAGCCTGCCTGTGTGGCCACATTTGGAGGACAGGAAATAGTTAACCAGTTAGGTCCATTGAAGTAACACTTTGTCTTAATCAAATAGTTTTGAGGTCAGAACTCTAAGGAGGCATATCAGTAGGGAGAGATTAGACATAGAGGGCTCTTGAGGAATGTAAATTTGAATGATAAGGCTGGTTTGATAAGACCCTCTGATTTCTCAGGGTGAGACAAGCAGGCCTTGAGCAAGGTGGAGAAGCAGAAAATCCAGACATTCTCCTCTAGTATACAGGATCCCAACTACCTAAACAAGACTACAACACTGATCGTGAGCAAGGATGGGCAGGTGCTAAGGCCTCATCTAGACAAAGGCAGAAGTTTCCAGAGAGAAGTGACCTGGTGAGCAGGAGAAAACCTCCTTTCCTGCCTCAATCCAAAAATGACTCCCAGATCTTTCCAAATTCCCTGGAGTAATGGGGTGGCCCTACAGGACACTTGAGGGAAAGCTTCCAGACCTCCTAGATTGTGGGAACCTTCAGTTCAGCCTAGAAAAGTCCAGAGCAAGGGTGATTGGATACTTGAGGCAGAGAAAGTATGACTTTAAGCGCAGAATTTTTTATTGCTGCAAACAGAGAGGTGGAGGACCTTCATATACAAGGGTGCTTTTGAAAATTCATCGATGGGGGCTGGCATCGTGGCTCACTTGGTTAATTCTCTGCCTGCGGCGCCAGCATCCCATATGGGTGCCGGGTTCTAGTCCCGGCTGCTCCTCTTCCAGTCCAGCTCTCCACTGTGGCCCGGGAGGGCAGTGGAGGATGGCCCAGGTGCTTGGGCCCCTGCACCCACATAGGAGACCAGGAAGAAGTGCCTGGCTCCTGGTTTTGGATCAGTGCAGCGCCTGCCATAGCTGCCATTTGGAGAGTGAACCAACAGAAGGAAGACCTTTCTGTCTGTCTCTCTCTCTCTCACTGTCTATAACTCTACCTGTCAAATAAATTTTAAAAAAAGAAAGAAAGAAAGTTCATGAAAAATAGAAATAAAAATGAGTTTAATTTGGTACAAAAAATTGAAATGCATAGGGGTCTTCAAACAGTTCATGGAAAAAATACATATTATTAAACGAAACCTTTGTATGTATTGTAATTTTTTGTGCCAAAATAAACTTGTTTTAATTCTATTTTCCATGAACTTTTAAAAGTACCTTCATATGTCAGGCAGTAGCTGTGATGCAAACTTGCAATAATAAGGCAGGTTGAACCAAAACTAGACGACAAAAGTGGGAATCTGGCCAGAGGAAACCAATATGCTGCTACAGACTAGTGAGCTGACACGAAAGTCCTGCTGTGATCATGGGTCTCACTGATAGAAGGATCTGGTACTCAGTCTATTCCGATGTCAGTT